TAAATACATATATATGATTATATACATATGATTATTTATGTATATATACACACACACTCAAAGATGATATATATATATACACACACAAAATGACAGAACCAACATTCAAATCTGGGTCACCTGACCCCAAAGTAGTAGAGCTAATCATTGTTCTATACAGCTCTCCTTATTTCTCTCCATTCAACCCAACCCATCCCATCCCCAATTAAATTCATATATTTTTTTTTCCTAGAAAACAGTGATAAGAGTAAGGCATTTTAAGGTGGGGATGGAGAAAGTCTTGGTCTACAGGAGGACTGTTCTAATACCATGTCTTATCTCTTGACGAGAAATGAAGAAGAGGTAATAAATCCATACTTGCTAGCCCTGAGCAGCTCTATGCTCCCTTAGCATATCCTTCATGAGTTATTTTTTGCTGTTATTCTTATATTACCAGGCCATTTTGCCCCGAGTTAAAAACATTCTATTTCCAGTGCACTTTTTATTTGTTGGCTTCTGTTCTCATTCTTTTTCATTACTAGAAATGAAAATCATTTATTTTAGAAAGAAATTATTTAGGGTAGGCGTTATTATCATAATTTTCCAGATGGGCTCAGAGAATTGACATGATAGAATCCAGGTAAAATTTCTTTCTAGCCATGAAGGAGCTAGAACTTAAATTTAGGATTCTTGCCTCCAAATGCAGATGTCCCAGGCATGTTCATGGGAACACTACAGGTCCAGCAGCTGTTCTCTTTGGCACCTTTACCTACCCTATACTGAATATATGCAAAGCCACTTTCAGAAATTCTCCCACACACCTCCTTTACTTCCTTTGCCTCCTATCTCAGTGAATGGTATCAGCATTCAGGTATACGTGCCAGACACTTGGATATCAACCTCGATTTTACTCTCTTCTTCACTCGCACTGCAATTGTCTTATATCCACTTTATTATCCAGTCATATCTGTTTTATATCCAATGCATAAAATTTATCTTTTTGTTTCCATATCTACCCAAATAACACTCTGTCTCCTCTGGGCTACTGGGATTATCTCCTAACGTTTAATCACCTTTCTTTTTTTCTTGTCCCCCTTCACTTCATTCTCATGAAGCCAGAATGATTATTTATTACACAAATATAATCAGGCTATAAATGTCATGTCATCATTTTATTGAAAATATTTCAATGTCTTCCCATGGCATTTAGATAAAAATAAAAGCCCCCAAAACGGCTGACAAGGTCTTACATGATCTGGTCCTCACCATATCTCCCACTTCATCCCTTATTTTCTGCATCACAGTCCTGTTGGTATTCTTCCACTTCCTCAAATACCACAAAGCCCTTCACACAAGCTGTTGCCTCTGTCTGGATCACTCACGAACCTTCCACCTCCAAAACGGTGTTAATGCTTACTCTTCCTTAAGACCTCAGTTCAGGCATTGCTTTCCCAGAGACAATTTCCTTGGCCTCTATTATATGCTCTCTCACAAGACCATTGCAACTCTTATCACTTATCACTGTTGCAATTTTATATTTATTGGTGGAATTATATGATCAATGTCTGTCTCCTTTACCAAGAAATATCTTTTTCGGTTCAACCTTGCATACTTAGTACCATGCCTAGCACATGATTAGCACATAATACATATTTGTTATGCTTACCATTTGTTTGAATGAGAAGGTTGTAGATTTTGGTCTGAATGCCCTCTGGATACAAAGTAAAGCTGCACTCATACTTCCCGCTGAGTGAGGAAGACATGTTCCTTAAAAGCAGAGTCCATTTTGACACATTCCCAGGAGTTTCTGTGAAAGCCACCAGTGATGTACAGGGAATCCCACTGGCACAGTGGAAGCCATGTTGAGGATGATAAAGGGCAATGAGGTCTACCTTTTCAGTGACCTTGGACCATTGCATTTGCACCAAGCCTTTCTTCTGGGTTTGGCAGGTCAGGTTGACATCAGAGCCAGGTAAAGCATAAATGTCTTTTCCTGCATTGAATGTTTCTTCCGATACTCCTGAAAAGGAAACACATGACCATAAGTTTGCATGATTCACATGGAGTGACTTAATTGTAAACCTTGGTTACTTTGGTGATGTGAAGGTAGCAATTGAGAAATTCCTTTCCAGCTGCCTTAGAGGTCAGAGAGAGCTTGTATATAATATAGATAGAAAAAAATGATACTCAATACATATAAGGAGTCATTTAGTTAAGGACACTAGAGGGACTTATTGACTTCAGAATATTTATTTCTTCATTAGTTGGTCCATATAAAAAATAATTTAAGATCTCTGTCAACCTATGAATAAAAATTAAGACTTTTAAAATTGAAACTATCTAGCAAACTTATTATGGCAACTACATTTAATAATTTTTTTTGTTATAAATCAATAGCTGCATATAACACTCAAGTGGTATTTTCTAAAACCACAAAAATAACTATAAGCTGTGTGTAGCAGTTTTTAAAAATATATATTTACAAGAGGCTTTTACAGATACTGTCTTGTTTAATCCTTCTCTTATACCAAAGTGATGTTAACATTCTTTATCAAGGAGGCACAGGCAGATTAAGTGATTTGATCGAAGTCACACCTCAGTAAAAGAACATGAATTTGGCTGCTTGGAGACTGTGCTCCTTCTATAACCTCATAACCTCCAAACTGCCTCCCAAATTGGTTGAGAAGGGTAAGAAATTTAATATTCAATATATGAAGATAGAAATGGCCTTTATCTCCATGGGGTTTGTAAAGGGAGGAGGGGAGAAAATATCTCAGGTAAAGGCTCCACTAAAGATAAACCATTGGTCAGCATCATCTATAATTAATGCTTTGAAATATCAGATATAAAAGATGATTCTTTCCCATCAGCTCTCCAACAAAATGATACAGGGCACTTAAAATATGTTAAACATTGAGTCTTTGACATACCTTCAATAGTGTAGGCCTCAGTTTTAGAATTAACATGGAATACTTTTACAGGAATGAAACATTATTGTGACAGGCACTACAGAAGCTCACAAAAGGAAAAGATAAAAAGATGACAAGGAACTGAGAAGAAACAAGGCTCTCGAAGGTACTTGACAAATGCGAATTATTACACTTTTATAGATGCCAAAATTTGGGTAGGGAGAGGTTAGTACAGTTTAATGTAGCTTTCTGTGAGCTCTCCTTTGCCTGATAATATGTCTCTGATCCTATCTGCAGCATTATATTCCAAAGTCTCTTTTGATTTAGAAATTCTCCTTAAAATCTTCATAGCTATGTCTGAAAAGCACAGTTAATTCTTAAGACACTCACGATCACTATAATACCCTCATGCTGTGGGATACAGAACTCATCTTTCTTCCTGCTATTTTTAAATAGGCCTTTTAGGCATTCGATCCCACTGTCACCAGGACCCCACTTTGTCTCCCAGGTCTATACCTACACATGCTTCATTAAAATTCAGCGTCTGTTCAACTCTCAAAGACATTAGTATTTGGAAGAGAAATGCTTGTTATATTCAAAAGGAAAAAACAAGCAAACAAAAAGATACTTGAAAGAGAGAAAAAGTTGAGCAAGGATCTCTGAGCATGGATGGCTTTGTGATTTATTTATTTTTTTAGTATTCCGAATTCGTTATATCATTTGGAGAGCATTACATTTTCAAGAAGCAAAATTTTCCAGTTACTCCAGAGATCCTCTTAGGAAGGAAATGGGTGAAAATGTCTCTGAGCAGTGGCGCAAACTACCCATTCCCTTCTTGATTTTAGTGTTCATTAGTAATCATTTCTAGACTTCAACAGCCCTCCCACAGCTGCCACTTAAACACATAACTGAAAATCTTAGTAACGATCTGTCTTTGGTGCTCAATTTCAGCAGCAGTCACAGGCATTTTAAGTGAACAGAGACCCCACGTGCCCCCCAAGGCAGCCGATTTGACAAGAAAGGACAACTAGAAGCCTTACCCCTGACAAAATGTATCTGGATGATGGAATAGACAGCACAGTATGTCCATTTTTTCTCCATTGTCTCCTGAAGGCCTCACACCAGCATTTCCATCATGTTCACAGAAGTCAATTGATGCCTTTAACTAAGCAAACTCCAGCCACTCTATTCGTGCTTAAAAACCCCAAATCTACCACACGCCTGGGTCTGTTTATCACTTGGCAAGACCAGGAAATGAAATGTTAGACAGGAAAGTAATGTGGTTCAGAGCTCAGTATAACTTTCAACAGAACAATGTTAAAATTGTTCTCTGAAATCTGTGCATCACCTTTGTTAAGAGACTTTTCAGTATCCAAAGATCCTCTCAATCCTTCAGGATTGTGTCAGTCAAGCTGCTTCTAAAATCCAAACAAAGGAGATCATGCAGAGCAGTTCATAATGTGTTTTTTATATATTTCTTTTCAAGAGCACAGTCATTTAACGAATGTGAGCCTAGTGTCTTTTGTAACAGTTTTTCTGCTCAATTTTAAAATATGTTTTCTTTCCAGAATTGCTTCGAGGTTAAAGAACAAAGAATGAACACATTTAATTTTAATAAAATCTGAACAGTAACAGAGGGGAGCATCAGCTATTAGCCTGAATGTTATTCTCTCTCCTTTTGCAGGGAGACCCACATTTCCTGGGGGTAGGAAAATGAGGGCTCCTTTTCACTTCTTGCCTGGGAGAGGCTGGAAGTCAGACAGGGACGTCTCCCACCCTGTTGGCTGGAGGCCTTTTTTGCTGAAGGCAGAAGAGCTTATGTCTCAGCCAAAAGCCATATAGAACAGTGCTGAAACAATCAGAATCCAAAGGCAGAGAATCTCCCACCTCAGCTAGCTACCAAGCCTGTTACACCCGCCCAGTTACCTCCATTTATAAACCGAGTCTGGGATTCAGGGACATTATGACTATCCCCTGTCAGATATGACTGCACTGGTTTTCCAGCTTGGGATAAAATAAACCATCTTCACCTTCCAACTTTAAGAAAACAAGTATTAGTCTGAGGACTACAGTGTAAGTTTAATAAACAAAAATTAGAAACTTGCTCTTGATGCCCTCATCTCTTCTCTGTTCCCCTAGAAATTCCAGAAAATTATAGTGATGAAATACATAGAGCCAAAAACAGTCCAAGACATATATTGGGAAAATTCTGATCTTTAGGTTGGCGTTCTGATTAAATTGGGACATTATAAGCCTGGGGAAGAAATTCATTTAGCTCACTCCACTTCTCATATCAAGAGGAATTTACCTAAGTAGAAACCAATAAAAATCTAAATTTATTGTCTACTCTAAGAACAACATCTCTTCCCCCTCGACATATTTAGAGGTCCCTATCTCTTACTGCTTTAAAGTAAAGCAACTCTACAAAAACATTTTTTAAAAATAAAAATAAAAATAAATAAAACTCCTCCAATTCAGCTAAAAGGTAATTGTCATTTATTTTCCAGAGCTACAGATTCACTTTTAATGGAATCCTTGCCTCTCATTGGGGCTGGGTTGCCCAAGGCACCCTTTCGGTGGCTGCTGGACAAATAAATTGACCCTCTCTGGGAGTTATTCAGGGCCTGGTTCATGGTTTTTATACCTAGAAACCTCTGCAGTCTGGAGTCATGAGATTTGACTAGTTTTCCTTTGGGACCCACCCAGGCTCTAAGAGAGCAAAAAGTTCAGAAGCCCACAGAATATTAATGGAACTCACCTGATGTCCTGCAGCTGTTAAGACCCAGGCGACAGCCCCTCCATAGCTGTTTGCATGCAGCAGGTGGCAGCAACACCCCACAGACCAGCGTGGCTATCCCAGATGATACAATTTTTTTTTTTTTTTTTTGCCTTCACTGCTTTTCAATCCCAGTAGTATTTTCTAAAGGCCCTTTCAGCATGGGGATAGGCATTCTCCATACTTAAAAATAACTCTTCTATGGAAGTCACGTCAATCTCTTCTATTATCCTCCCTGTTCACCAAATCCCAATTGCAAAGCATTTCTTCTGCCTCAGATTAAAGTCTGCTGCATACAAAGAGAAAACAGAAGCAGTCAGTTTCACACACAAAAAGAAATCTTGAACTTCTTGAACTTCAGAGGCAAATTCAATTATTTACAAAGAGAAGCAGGGGCACACATCATTTCTGCTAGAGGCGAGTTATAATTGTGTATTTTGGACGATCTTTTTGTATGCTCCATCTAAACACTTACCCTCAATGAGAAAAGGACATTTTTACAAATAGGAAGTTGAGAAAAATGGCAAACTTACTTTTGTGGTTTTCATAAAGGTTAACTCACATATTACTGATTTGTCATAGATTTTATTCTTTAACTACTTATATTAAAAAAATGTGTTATACTTTTGTACATGTTTCTCTCCCAAAATGTTTAGAAGCCACGATGCTCAATGTTTCAGCTAATTGAAATTATATCTTGAGTGCCAACTGTTAGGATTATGAAGAGCCATAGTTCTGGGTAATTTTAACACACAAGTGATAAAACACAGCTCTTGCCCTTAGACACTTATCATTTTGCTTGAGAGAAAACATCTCTGTGCACCAAAAGAGTTGAATAACGTAATGGACAGGATGGATGAAGAGGTAGGGACAGATCCTTAGGACCAGAGAGATCTCCCAGGAATCAAGTGGGATAAGAACATCTGAAGTGTGGAATCCAGACTTAGTTTATATTATAGAAGTGAGTCTGGTGGGATCTAGGAGGTAAGTCATTGCAGGCGGAGGAACCAGTAAGAACCAAGGGTTAGTCGTAGTGACGTTCAAGGCTATTTCAGTGATTTGACTGTTATCATTGAGCAGAGACCTTATGGGGGCTTGGGGCAGGTAAAATCGTCCAAGGGGTGAGTTT